GAAGAATAAGTGTATGAAGAAGCTTCTGAAGAAGTATGAAAAGATCTTCTGAACAGATCTTTCACTGAAATTACTGCTGAAATAAGGATTTATACATGAGATTGACACAGGGGATGCAAAACCAGTCAATCAGAATGTGTACTCTCTGTTACAGATGCATCTCAAAGAACAGAAGTGTCAGATCACTGACCTTCTAGAACATGATCTTATATAACTCTTATCAAGCATGTAAGACTTTTCAGTTCTATTCATGAAAAAGGCAGATGAAGAGTGATGAATGTGTATTGATTATCAAGTACTTAACAAGCTTATAATCAAGAATGAATATTCACTATCACAGATTCAATAACAGTTGAATACAGTTGAAAACATCTAATATCTATCAAAGATTAATCTTCTCCCAGAATACTGACAGATCTGTGTAGACAAACTGTCAGTTCTGTGAATTATATTTAATACATAATGAGAGAAGTTTGAATTTCTGACAATGTTATTTAATCTGATAAATGTACTCATCATCTTCTAAATAATAATGAATATAATTCTTCATAAACAGAATGAAATCTCATGCCTCATATATCTCAATAACATTCTAGTCTTTTCAAACTTATATAATAAATATCTGAAGCATCTCAATGAAGTGCTTATAACTCTGACAGAGTATAAGCTCTATATCAAATCAATCAAGTGTGTGTTTGAAATAGAAGAGTGGAAGTTTGTAGAATATGTAGTAAGTGATGACTGTATACATCTCATCTCAGAGAAATTGAATGTCATAGTAAATTAACTATGACTGAGAAATATATACTATATACAACAGTTTCTTGAGTTGATCTCATACTACTGCAGATTTATCAAGGATTTTGTATGAATATCTGCATCACTCTCAGATCTCTTAAGAGAAATGAATGCAAATCTGTAAAAGAAGAAGTTTTGTTCAATTATCTAAAATACTGCATATAAAGAGGCTTTTCTCACACTGAGAGAATATGTAACAACATTCTCAGTGCTTATTTAATCAGATTATGATAAACCTTTCTATATTAAGACAGACACATCTGAATGAGCTATCAGAGACACTCTTCTACAGATGAGCAAGAATAGCAAGCTACACTCAGTGATATACAATGATAGAAAACTATCAGATGCTGAGCTCAATTACTCAGTACATGAAAAGAAATTACTAGCAATCAAGCACATGCTGGCATTGTGAGATAGATATATCAACAACAGATATATAATAACAGTGATTATGAATCACAAAAGTCACATCTATCTACAATTAATAACAAAACCTTTCAAACACTTAGTACATTGAATCTCAGAGTTTCAAGTGTACAATCTTCATATTAAATATTAAAAGAGATTGAATACTGTAATGTCTGATACAATCAGTCACAGACCTGATTTCATGAGTGAGAGTTCTGTAAACCAGGTTCAAGAGACATTTGCATTAAATGCACTGAGAGAATGCAAGAAATCAGAATAAGTGAACATCATGATCTCTCACTTGAAGAATGATAAGATATTGAATGATAGATATCTTATAAAAGTAGTAGAAGAGATGCTTCTGAACTTCAAGCTGAGAAAATTGAAAAATGATGTTGTGCTTTATTACAATCTAGAATATATAGAAGCTCTCTATCTAGAATCTTCATTTCAACACAACTTAGTGACTCACATGCACAAGGAATTCAGCTACTTAGAAAGCTCTGAACTCATGAGTGTACTTGAATCAAGAGTATACTGGCCAAGCATGGCTGAGAACATTCAGATATACACTCACAAGTGTCTGAATTGCCAGGTCATGAAAGAATCTAAGAAAGGATTAGAACATGAGAAAGTACAATATCAGATGAAGTGTACAATACAACTGTTCAAACAATGAGAGATAAATCTTATAGACATATTACTGTGAATATCAAATGAAAATCAATGAATAATCACTGTTATTAATTACACTACTGGCTGACCAGTCATGAAAGCAGTTTCAGAGATGATAGAGAAGATGATGATGAAGTTTCTATATAATGAGATCTATATTAACTATAGAATGCCGTGCAAGATTCTAACTGATAATAGTGTGAATCTCATAAAAGAAGTGATAAGGCATTTTGTAAGCCAGTTACAGATAAGACATTGTAGAATAACATCATATCATCTGTGAATAAACAGAAAGATGAAACACTTGAATAAAATCTTAAACAACATACTGATGAAATATCTAGTGAGCAAGTCTATGAGATTATGAAATGAATATTTCAGTCAGGTGCTATTAGTCACACAAATTCAGCAGCATGCAGTCTTCAAGTATTCATCATTCTATCTGTTGTATGAATTGCATCCATGCATCTCAGAGAATGCTTCAGAAAAGATGAAGAAGGAAACAGCAGCTGTAGATACAACAGTTACAGATATAACAGTTGCAGATGTGAAATCAAGATTGAAAGAGATCAGCCATGCACATGTAAAAGCTAATGAGTTACTCCTGAACTGAGTAATTCAATTGAAAAGAATACAAGACTCACTAGTTAAGAAATCAAGTCTCAAGATAAGAACATGAGTTCTTATATATAATGAGAGTTCTGAGAAGTTTCAATCTAGGTGATTTGAGTCATATAAAATACTCAAATCACATTCTCTGAGAATGTATACATTGAAAGAATCAGAGGAATGAGTCTTATACAACTTAATTAATAGTTCATAACTTGTGAAAGCAAAGATACAAGATCTGAGTGAATTATGATTATTCACAGCACTATTATCAGTGTTGAAAAAGAAGAGACTTATAATTGAAAAGTCTCATGAAGTAAGAGAAATCATAGACACTTATGAATCAGATGATCTCACTTATTTCAATCTTTTCACAATTATAAGGAAAGAATGAGAAGTAATGAAGAAATCAGATAAACATCATACTTCAATAAGTGATGAGACTGTAGCTGATTATACAATAACACACTGCAGACAGTGAGTGTAATACAGTAAAGAGCAGTCTTAAAGTAACAGACTTATATATGAATCAGATTGCAGAAGAAAAAGAAATTCAGAGTTGAATTTAACTGTTTACATCAGTTCAATTACAGAGATTACAGAGAATGAACTATCTGAAACATCTGTAGATGTGTGAAACCAAGTCATTTCAATCTCTGAGAACACTCAGAGATTGAGTGAGATTAGTTTCAATAAGCTGTTTACTGTAGTGATCTGAGTGAGTGAAGAGAGACAGTATAATATACAAGACAGAATTACAAAAGATGAAAGCTGCTGAATCTAGTCACTGAATACTGTATTATATAGAGATTGTGTAAGAGTAGTGACTAGCAGATAAAGAAAAAGTGTAAGAAAAGAAAAGAGATAATGAATTGATTATCAACTGTAAGAATCAGCTGCAAAAGACAAATGTTATTATACACATCTCATTCATTTTCATATATCACATGTTTAATCTATTTCCAACATCACATCATCTGAAAAACATTAAAAAAGGAAATCTCAAAACTCAAGATCTGTAAGAGATTTGAGAGCTGCAAGCTGCTCTTGCAACAATATCATACACATCTCTGATTTCTCTATTACTCTGTGTACAACATTAATGTCATTTATCACAAGATTGACTGAAATGCCAATATAGAAATATGCACATGTATGTGTAAAGAAATTGAAGAAGAGTGCGGGATCTGCAGAATCAGAAGTCAGAGTAGAAGAGACAGAGACAGAAGAAACAGAAGAAGAAGAAGGCACAGAACTGAACAAACAATGACAAGAGTCATCTGAGACTGAATACTTATGACTTAGTGTGTGCATAATCTTTCTCACAGAGAAGGGAGAGAAAGCAACAGAAGAAGCTTGAGAATGAGAGAGAATAGTCTCAGCAGCATTGTCATCTTTGATTAGAATAATCTCTGATACTGAAGTAACTAAGAATCATTGTTAGTATATAAAAATTACAAAATCAGAGATGAGAACAGTTACTGAATAAACACTCACTTGTAACGTGGCGGAACCGAAGCGGTGGCTAGTCAGCGGCGACATGTAAGGGTAGTTGTTTGAGAAGCTGTATGAGTGGGCTTGACTATCTTGCTTGAATAGCAAGCTCATAGGCTACAGAGTTATTGTGAGGATATCACAGATATGATACTTAGTATACTAAGAAGATTGTATGAGGCATGTAGTAACTCTTGTGTATATTTCTCTAGAAGTAAAATGAATCACTGACTTCTTTGATGAGGAGCCAGCATCTAGCTATTCTATATAGACAATGAACAGATATTCTTCTCTCATTTCATGAGCAAGAATAACTGAAGTGATACCTCAGCAGTGCCTCATTGTCAAGAAAGAGTAATCTGCTGATCTTGTATAGAAGTGAGATTCTTATATTCATCAATTGAATCTTTCTATGATACATCTGAATGATGTTATAGAGTGGTTGAAAACTGGTTCAAATAGAATAAAATCATCTGCATGAAAGTGATGAGCTGTGTGAAACTGCAACAGAGCCTTGACACAGCTGAGAGTGTGACAATGCTCTTCTCTTTAAGAGCATAGTCTCTATGCTCTCAAGATTACCAGATTAAGAATTATCTTTGTTGTATAGTAACAGTTATCAACTGATTGACAGTGTGTGTGCTGCATGTGATACAAAGAAATAGATGAGTTTTTCTACTGACTGCATAGGTCTTTCTTTTCTCATCATCATTCAAATCAAATGTATGATAAGTGAGTTCCTTATATATCAATTTAAAATGTGAAAAACATAATTAACAAGTGACTTGCAGATCTTCTAATATATTTCATTCTATATATGAAATTCTCTGCAAAAGTGATGTGTTTTAGAGACAAAGCTAATAGTAGTGACAGGATTTTTCAAAAAGATTCTCTTCTCTGTGAAATATTTTTCTTCTCCCTCTCTCAATTGCAACAGTGAGTGTATGAAAGTATCATCCTTGAAGGACAATCAAGAGCTTATTCTGACATTTTCTAGTGAGTAACAAACATCTTCATGGTGCGGCAGCAGCCTTCATGACTGTCAAGAAAGTCAGGTTGAAGGTGAAGATGATGATGTCAATGAGCTGCAGGAGCACTGCTCTCATTGTCACATCTTCTTCTTCTCCTGCTTCTTTTGCGGCTGTGATGGTAGTCACTGTGCCTTGCAGTGAGGTGTCATCCCTTCTGCTGGTCAGTTCATCTGTGTTCAGTTCATCCTCTGCCCCCTCCACCGCCATTGCAACGCCACCCCCCCCCCCCAGCCAATACAGTGATGTATGACCCTGTGTGGTCATTTGAAGAGGAACCTGAGAAGAGCTTGGTTCCAGGGACAGTGACTCTGAGAAGCTTAATCTGTAGTTTCTCTCTCACAGCACACCTGAGCCCTGCTCAGAATGCTGCTGAGTTAGATTTATAGAGTTCTGCAGTTTCTTCATCTTCTCTCTGTGAGAAGGCTCTGATGCAGTCTCTGACTGACACTGCTACTTGTCTGTACTATGTTAAACAGCTGAAGAAGAGAGAAATTTTATACACTCATCTCTTCTCTCACTTTTATTATTTTTATTATATCTGCAACAACAACTTCTATCTCTCTGTAAGTATCATCTCACAGAAAGACATTATATCAGTTCTGATAAAAAGTCTAGATACTTAAGTAGTACAGAGTGAGAATCTTGAAGCTCTAAGTATTAATAGATTCTATTAAGACTGAGAAGGTCTCTCTTACTTATCTATAAAAGAAGATGAAAGTGTGAGTCTTTGAGATGAAAAAACATCTCAGAATAACTAATCTTAAGAAGAGATTAGTCAGTGCTGCTGTTAAAAGTACTACAGAGATTAATCACTGATTGAAGAGAATCTTACTTCAGTTAAAGTAGATGACTGAGATATTTTATAAGTTAATAAGTTAATACTTTCAGTATCTCTTATACTCTTCTATAGTATACTTCTCTGCAGTGCTGCAGTGCTAACTTCTCAGCAGATAAAGATATCAGTGTCAGAGACTTCAACAGTGAAGAATGAGTTTGATAAGAATATAATTATTGATAAGTAGACTCTGATCTCTCTTTTTACTTTTTCAGCAGGCTGCAGCTCTATTAGAATAGCAGCAGTCTGTAAGTCAATAATATTAATCTTTTTATTAATTTTCAATATTTCTTTTCTCTAACTACTTCAGGAATTTTACACTTGTATAGTCTTATTAAACTTCTAAAAACTCTTTAAGAGAAAATAGAAGAAGAGTACTACAGAGTCTATAAGATATCAGCTCATTACTGTGAGATTATCTCTAAAAAAACTCTTTGAGAAAAATGAGAAGTCTTAAGCAGTATTTCTTACTCAACATCTCTGATATGTAATAGAGCAGTCTCTACTAGCTGTCTCATAGATTGCAATCTCTTTCTCAGTATTTTTCAAATATTTAAGTGATTTTCACAAATTCTCTGACAATAAATAATCTTCTCATTTAATAAGATATTGAAGCTTGCTATAATGTGTTTACTTATTTAATATTTTCTTCACAAGATATTCAGTATCACTCTTAATCTCAATATTATTCAGCTGAGACAGCTTCACTCTGAGATATTATTTATAGAGCTTTAAATAGAAAATGTAAAAAACAGAATAAATTGATTTCAATTCTGTGAGTAATTTCAACTTATATGTCTGTTTACTTATTACTCTTATTATCAGAAAAGATTCTAGTCACTACTCACTGAGCTTCTTACACAGTCTCATTGTCTTGATATTCTTTACTGAAAGTAGCACTTGATTCTCTATTGAGAACTTCATTAGAAGATGTTTTCAATTATAGTATTTTATCTACTACTTCTGAGCATAGTAGATGCTTTTCACTATCTTCTCATAAATTTTGTTCAAAAGTTTTAATCTCACTTTTACTTCTAATACTGAGAAATACTTCATTCTCTGTATCTGTTCAACATTCTGACTGTCTATTCTCTTCTTTGAAATATTATTCATAATGTCACTGAGTAATGAAGAATTATATTCATAATAAGTATAGAAAGAAGATATCTTTAAGATTGCATTCTTTACATTGTTATATATAAATTCAGTGATCAGAAGATGTTTGAGTCAATCATTCTGATAATATGAATAGAACACTTGAAGATGCTGTTCTAGTATCTGATTCTGATGTTCAGTCTGATCATCAGTCTGTGAATAAAATATAATACTGAGAAGATATCTTATTATAAAATGATAGTAAAAAGCTGATCAGTACTTGCTGATAAAGAGGAATTCTTAATCTATTATTAACAATTTCAGAGCACTGTGATCACAAATAATGATATCTAAAAACAGGTCAGTCAATTCAGAGGCTTTAATCTTTTTATAAATAGAGATATATCTGATCATCTTTGTGAAGCAGTTAATAATGATCAAAATCAAGTCATATTCTTTAACTCTTATCAACTTCAGCAGGTCAACTATGAAATTCATTAATAGATTCTATCATGAGCTCTTTGAAACAGACAGTGATATCAACTCACTGTATTACTTATACTATGAGATCTTTATTCTTTAATAGATATTGTAAGTCTCAATATACTCTTTGACATCTGTCTGAAGCTTGTTCTAAGTGTATTTACATTTTAGAAGCTTCTCAGTCTTCTCTAACTCAAAGTGTTCTGTATGAGAATTATTATGATGAATTCTTAATAACTTCTGATGCACTACTCTGCTATAAGAGATGAAGACTGAATCATTTAGCAGTAGAAGTCTACATTCTTCTAGTTATCAGTGACTTGATTTCTTAGCAGTATTATCTCACTCAGAACCTGTCTCTTTCAAGTTTAAACTGAACTCTTTCTTTTTCAACTTCTGAATTCAAGCTGCAGTAGAGATGTTCTTCTTCTGTAACTTATCAATGAATTTTAAAAGTAGTTGAGTTGAAAGATTATAGATCATTTCATTCTTTATCAATTCAATGATTGCAAGATGTGATATGAGAAGCTTATAATCTTCAGTATCAGTTCTTCACAAAGATCTGAGTTCTCTTTCACCTTCTATACTGAGTCGCACAGCTGCCTCTTCAGCACTGTTCTCAAGCTTTAGAGAATCTCAACTCTCTGTAGCCAGCTTCTTCTGCAGTGATAACAGAGGTTCTTTTGTAGAATTCTTCTCTGCATTAATAATATTATAATCAGGCTGTCTAGACAGCATGTTAGCAGGGTTAAGCTGATCTGAATAATATTGAATATAGAAATCATACTCTGAAAGCAGCTTCACTCACCTGACTTAATATTCTGTCAAGCTCTTTATTATCAAGAAGTAACACAGATTTGCATGATCAGTGAGAACTTACACTGAGTACTTACTACTCTGAAGATAATATCATCAGATCTTAAAGAATTTAACAATTACTAACATCTTCTGATCATGAGTATCATACCTTCTCTGTGTGAGTAATAACTTCTTGAAAAAGAAGATCACTGATCTCTGTTCACAGTGTCTTGTAGACTCTGTGAAAAAGTCTTCTTTCACAGGCAATTCATTGCCTGTTTTCTCAGAGATGATTATTTTCTGATTCTTTCAACATTGAAAGATCTTCAGTGTCAACTGTGAAAAGATTTCACAGATCTCATTCTCAGATGCATCAGTCTCACACTGACTGAGTAAGTTAGAATTAAAATGATTCAGTATTATGACATCTGTGAAAGCTTGTTTTAATTCTGCAAACACCTGCACAGTGTCTTGAGTGAGAATAAACAGTTCTGTTTTTCTGTCTTTCACACTTCTCTTTAACAGATCTGTAAGAGAGGCAGTAATCTGTGAATATGCATAGATGAATTATCTGTAGAAATTTGCAAATTCTAGAAACATCTGCACCTCACAGTACATCTGCAGCATTAGCCAGTTCTCAATGATGGAGACCTAGCTCCTGTTCATTGAAATGCCATTCATCTCAACAATATAATCTAAGAAATCAATCTCCTGCATGTAGAATGAGCATTTTTCAGTGTTTGTATAGAGTTGATACTGTCTCAAGTGACTCAACACTTCTTGAACATGGATATCATGTTCTTTCTCTGATTTTGAGAAGATTAAAATGTTGTTCAGATATACTATACAGGAGATGTTGACAAGGCCCTGTAGCATCTCATTTATATAGGCCTGGAAGATGACTGAAGTGTTACAAAGATTAAAAGACAAAACAAGATATTTAAAATTGTCATACTTGATATGAAAAGCTGTTTTTCAAATGTTGTCTTCATTAACTCTGATTCTATGATAGATATTCTGTATATCAATCTTTGAGAATATCTTTGCTTCAGATAATTGATCAATCATCTCATTAATTAACAGTAATGAATAGTAATTCTTAATTATCATCTTATTAAGGCCTCTGTAGTCTACACATAGATGTAGTCTATCATTCTTCTTAAGTATAAAGAGTATAGGCGCCTCTGCTGAACTCTTTGATGAATATATTCAGTTCTTTGATTGCACTTCTTTAAGATATTTGCACAGAACATTCAACTCCTTTACAGACAAGTTGTAAAAAGGCCTGTACAGCACTGTTACACTGTCTTCAAGATAAATCTTATATCATATCTTGATGTCAGGAAACTTTGCTGCTTCCCTTTCTGAAAAGATATTCTTAAAATCTGTAAAGAGACATCATGTACATTCATCTTCAATAATGAATACTGCTGCTATTTTTGCAGTGAGAGTGATGACTTCTTTATTTGTTCTCAAGTCTCAATCACCTGTTACACAGTATATCAACTCAATTTTTTTCTCAAGATTCTTCTGATGAAACTCTTCAGATTTCTCTATCACTGTCTCTTTATCAGTGAGACAGTACTGTCATGTCTGAGTGACTCAGTCAATGAGAGAATTGTTTTCTCTCAATCATGAGAGATCTAGAATGATATTCTTATCTATGATATTAACTGTGTGAAGAAGCAGACTGCTTTTCTTGAAGATTTCTTCTGAGTCTGTGATCACACACTTTGCCTGAATTATGTCAAAACAGTGACATTTCATTTCATCAGTAAATTTTACATAATCTGACAGATCTATCTTCTTTCAACTCTTCATCAAAGAAAAGAAATAGAATATGAAGTTGATATTCATCTCAGAGTCAAGTAGACATCTCACTGATATCTTCTCATTCAGAGTATACATTGTAATTGTAACATGAACTCAGAGATATGAGAATTATTAATTCTTTTCTTTCTCTTCTTTATCTTCTGTGAATACATTTACTAGAAGA